CTGAAATAAATGTATGGTCTTCCGTACGCGGAAAAATTACAGCTTATAGTTTGGAAAACCTAAATGCAAGTGTAACGGTAGGTCGGGTTCAAAATGATTCGGGAATTGGAAAGGGTTTTGGAAACCGATTTACACCCTTTCTTAGAATACGAAATTAAAGGTAGACGTAAATTTCTACCGAATGCGTAAAAAACAAATATTGTTGGGCAGTATTTCCATGAAATATGATCGAAGTTTTAAAGGCATCGAAAATCATTGAAAAAATGCATGCTACATGAGAAATCATTTGTTACAAAGTGGGGTTTTTGCATGCGACCGTAAAGATGTTCGTTTGAGAGCCTGCATCCTAATGTGACTAAATTGTTATAGAATTATGCTGCAAACTGATTAGTTTTACAACGCTGCTAGCGTACACTTTTCGAAACGAAGACGCATTTCATAATTTCGGTTGGCATTTCATGAGTTAGCCCACCTACTCTAAGTAGCCATTTTTTACGGAGCTTGGTTTTTGGTTTCAGCCGAATGGATGGTTGTTCGAAAGCCGGTATTCAAGAGTAACTTAATTTTTATAGAATTATGCGACGAAATAATAAATTTAACAACCGGATTAAATTAGTCTTTTCGAAACGGAAAAGCATTTCGGAAGTTCCGTTGACATTTCATGAGTTAGCCCAGTTAGGCAGAATGGCATTACCGAAAAAGACAAGGGAGACTATGATGGCCATTTCGGGCTTATTAGCCGTCGTCAGCCACTCATACCCAACTCCGAAGTGTGGAACACCCGAATCTCGAACTCGCGACTTGTCAGTTAGAAGTCCACGCCTCTAACCACTGGGCCAGGAGCCCGTTGCCCTGTCGATTTTCGATCGGCAATATACAATGGTAGGGGACGCTCACCGATCTTTCATACGGAACTCATTCGTTCCGTTGTGCCTTAAGGGCTCTCTCTCGAGCCCAACCAAAAGCCGCGCAGCGGCGCATGATATATAGGCAAATTGGCATTACCGACAAAGACAAGGGATACTGGAATGTCCATTTCTGGCTTATAAGCCGTCGTCAGCCAGTCATCAGTGAGCGTCCCCTGCCATTGCATACTTCCGATCAAAACCGACAGGGCAACGGACCCGTGGCTCAGTGGCTAGAGGCGCTGTACTTCTAAATAACAGGTCGCGAGTTCGAGCCTCGGGTGTTCCACACTTTGGGGTTGGGTATGACTGGCTGACAACGGCTAATAAGCCAGAAATGGCCATTCCAGTCTCCCTTGTCTTTGTCGGTAATGCCATTCTGCCTATATATATGTGTATACATATATATATATATATATGCATTTCCGTCGAGCCAATATCTTTCAGAGGAAGACAAAGAGGATCCTTTGGAGATTTCACATCCCAAACTGTATTTATACAGATTTTTCAGTAACTTTCTCGTTTCCCTCATCCCTGTAATAGTGCAGCGGCTTTTCCTGCGGGCTGCCTCGTATTATTACCGTATTAAACGAACGGTCTTGGCCTGTGTGCTTGCTGTTTACGGGCTGTGAGCTCTTTGTGGTAAACCGCGGGCGGACTCACAAGACATTTGTCCTCATCACGAATGCCCTTGTAACAAAGTCGGCGGACCTTTTGACCCTAGCGAGCTACCCGGTCGTCATTTTGACTTCGAACCGGTGAACAGATGTTCCATACTGGTCGCGTGATCTCTGGTAAGTTCCCTTCCCCATTCTCTGCAGGTGTCAGCTGCTGAACCCACATGACGTAGCTCGCCTGTCCTGTTGGTCCTGCTCTAGCTGACTTGAACCCTATACGTGGGGTCTGGTAGGCAGGGTGCGGATCTGTGGCTCAGTCGAGGTTTTAATTGAAGATTTTCACTTACCTGACATAGATTAACTCTCGAAAATTTGCCCCCTAGATTCCAGCTCTTCCAAGATATTATTAATTTTTTGATTGATCTCAGCTTGTCCGATATCCGAAAAAACTCTTTGGTCAAATCTTTGCAAATGTCTTTGTTTCCTTTTTCGTTTTTTTCGAACAGGGCATTTTCAAAAATAGCCATGTATCTATTTATTGTTGCCTTCTGCTTATCTTTTCAAGAAGCAGCAAAGATCGCATCCGTCTGATTCCCATTCCAACCTCAAAAAAGCCTTCAACAAGGTGCTCCGTGCATGTCCTTTAGAAAATTGGAAGCCTTCTACATCCGGCCTCTTCTAAGCGACGTAATCGGTTCCTATGTATTCAACCGCTAGCAGAAAGTCATGGTTAGCGATAACTACTCGACGCCTCACTCGATCAAGGATGGCATATTGCAAGGCACGGTTTTGGGTCTGCTACTCTGCTTTTTCTGCATCAGCCATATTTCTACAGTAATCATAAATTCGTGAACTTTTATTTGGGCTGACCTCAAGTGTGTTTAGTCATATCCTAAGGACACAGCAAAGGTTTGCGTTGGAAAAAACAAACACCGATTTACTATCTCATCGGAAATGGAGTTCAACAAGTTAGACAGT